AAGCAAGCGAAGGAGGCTGGAATCCAGCCCACCGCGATTGAGCAGTCTAAACCGGAGGAGAAGGAGCAAAGCGGAGTTTCGAATCAGGAACTACCTTTCGAGGAGGGTGACGCTTGGACTTACCCAGTGGGTGTGAAAGATGCAACGGTCGACAGAGATGAGGACTGGAACAAGAAGTCGCATCTACTCGTCTCCTTTGCACCGGACTTAGTGGCTGAATTCGTAAAAGGATACAAGGACGATCCATTTTTCCGGTCCAGATATGCGGAGGAAATAGCGCACCCAGACATGGTTCTCACTCCTTCTCGGTTCCAAAGAGGGAGCGGCGGCCTACTCTACTTCGTGGACGCGGACTGGAATACCAGACTATGCGTCCCGAGGTCGAAGGTGCCTTTCATGCTCAGCTGGCTCCATGATTCCGCCACCGAGACAGCACATGCGGGACCATTAAAGTTGCTACATCGCTGATGAGGGTGGATGACGGGTGGGGAGACCGGAGATGAGACCGACACTACACAACTAAAACTCAACAACAAAACAACAACTAGTCGTTCTGTCTGAGCGATAACCGTATAACACCGTTCCAAACGTCCAACAACCACCAATAACCGTCTCCTAATACGAGTGCAGAACCCTGGGAACAGAGCCTGTACACGGGTGTGCAAGGTTGTAGGGTAGATCGAATGAAATCTTGTTAAAGATTTGTTTTGTGGTTGTCCTTAAGCGTACTATCGACGAAATCCAGCAATAGGAAAGCGCCAATCGATGCCCAGAACCGTTTATACTCGTTTGGATCAGGAACTAACTGCCTTAAACCCAAGGAGTCGTCTCAAGTCAGGAACTAACTGCCTTAAACTCTCGACCGCCAACCGAAACCAAGTGTACGCCAACCGAAACTCTCTTATACGGCAACCGGAACCCTCAACTCTTTGATCACAATGCCTTTTTACTTGAATGAAAGAGCTAGCAGGATGATATTGACAAGCTAGATCCCCAGATGCACCTAGTAACGCGGGGCAATCCGTGAATCGCTCAAATACAGGACAGAGATATAAATACTAAACAGAAAATGATAAGATCAGGTAAATCGCCACAACAGAATGATGGTCCATGTGCATAATTTGTAAGGTATCGTTTCGCCATAAGGCCCAGAGTCGAAAATCCAGGTCTAGATGACCGGTAGCGTGTTTGGTGTCAATGACCTTTGTAAATCCTCCTTTATTGCGACCGTCTATGCGTTTTTGTGAACGGTCCGCTAACCGTTGTTGTTATCGTCGTGTTGCTCCACTTCCTAGCTTTCCATCGATATCCATGACTTGAGGTTAACCGCCAGACACCGTTAGGCAAATCTCTTAACGAGATAATCGCAATCTGTTGTCGAGTTGTTCGGTTGGACGGTTGCGGGTTAAGGTCGCCGCGATCTGCAGCCAAGCCCTCGTTTCCACTGAGTCATGCCTCCCGTTTAACCGCACCTCCACATGTCCTTATCCTTGCGTAAGTTCCGAAACCGTTCCAATGCTGTCAGGGACTGATCCGTTCAAGCCTGGTTGAACCTTCGTCGGAGCGTTCTGAGTTCGAGTCCCAGCGGTACCAGACCGAATATGCCTTTTAGTTTACACTCCCTTTTGGTATATATATAAAGGATTGGATGGATCCTCTATGTTGGTTGGGCTCTGCTGTTGTTTTGGTTGTTGTAAGAGTCGTTCTGAACGGCCAGTTGCTATCAACAACGGTCGAGTCGAAACGCCTCCTCGCAGATATCTCCCTAACTGGCCATTCGGGACTCATGCCAGTTCCTAGACGTGCGCTGTACCCATGAAACGAATGAAAACGGTGGTTTTCTATGTGTGTTCCAAAATGCGGCTTATCATCGCGTCAAGGAACTATTCTTCTGGAGCTCGCTGCATAAGGATGTCGAAGCCTTCGCCAAATCCTGCGATATCTGCCAGAAGATAAAAACGGATCACCGACGAAAGATGGGCGGACTCCGCCCATCTCACGTCCCCCGCCGCTCCCTTCTCTACCATCTCTATGGACATGATCACTGGTTTACCGCCTTCGGGAGACGAGAAGTTTACTGCTATTCTAGTATTTGTGGACAAGCTAACGAAATACGCCATATTCATACCGACTCACACTACTCTTTCGCAAGAAGGTTTCGCCAAACTATTCATCGACCATGTAGTCAACCGATTCGGAATGCCGGAAAGGATCATAGCCGACAGAGACCGTAGATGGGCTACCGCGTTCTGGAGAGCTGTTACGGCCCAGTACGGCAGCCGCATGGCCTTATCCACCTCTCATCACCCGCAAACCGATGGTCAAACTGAGATAGTTAACGCTTACTTGGAGCAAATGCTCCGGGCTTACGTCGCGAAGGATCGCACAACTTGGGCTCGATGGTTGGGAGAGATGAACTTTGCGTACAACGGCAATGTACACTCTTCTACTGGGTACAAACCGAGCTTCCTGCTCATGGGATACCATCCGAGAACAGAGGCCGGCGCGCTAATCCCGACTACGGATCCCGTAGTCAGGCCGTTCATGCGAGGACAAAAAGAGGAGGACTTCACTGAAGCCCTCAATGAACATCGTCAAGCGGCGAGGGACTCTCTCATACTAGCCCAAGAAAAGCAGGCTCGAGCATTCAACAAGCACCGTCGCCCGGTCGAAGAGATCCAGGAAGGGGATTTTGTCCTGGTCAACCCGCATACCCTGGAGCTAGTCGATGTGGCCGGGACGGGTCGCAAGCTAATACAGCGGACGATTGGCCCGTTCGAGGTTATGGAAAAGATTAACCCTGTGGTCTACCGCCTACGGCTCCCCGACTCTTACAATATGCACCCGGTGTTTAACTTGGAACATCTCAAACTTTATCACCCTTCGGAGGCCCGGTTCGGCGAACGAGAAGTCTTGCCAGACACTCGCGACTATCTAGCGCCGACCGAGGAATTCGAGGTGGAGGCAATATTGGGCCACCGCGTGCGCGTCGTCGAAAAGGACAAGAGTATCGAATGTTCCTAGTCCGTTGGGTGGGCTACGATCCTTCGGACGACAGCTGGGTATCAGAAAATGATCTGCGCAACGCTCCAGCTCTTAAGCGTGAATACCTTCGCGTCCATCATCTGAATTAGCGGGACGGACCGCACGTGACTACCTAGCATAAAAAGGTGTCAGAGTGACAAGTCACATCATTTTCTTCTCTTCCCGCATCCACTACCTTCTCCAGAAAAACGGTAAGCTCGCAGCGTCCGCTGGCATTCCGCCACGCTGCGAGCTAACCGAGCTTCGCTGACTCCTCTTTCAGATATGTCCCTAGTAATCTACCACTCGTCGATCCGATTCCACCAACCTCGCCTACGACCCTTTGCAGGATACGGAGACGGCGTCGCCCTGAACGTACAAATGTCCATGTCGTTGGGGTATCTTAGTGTCTTCAGCAACACAAGCAATCACCCTTGGCTGTAACAAATAGCTATTTGCTATGGCTATTCCCATAGAATTTAATTGCTTTCGCTCTGGGCTCCCCAGGCCCCTGGCAATCCCACACAAAAATGCTCTTGCCTGCTTTGGCTCTGCTTGGGTCCTGCCGCCAAGTTGCAGCCGGCACGAGTGGTCTCATCACTAGCTCATCACTTGGATCAATCGCATCATATACGACGTGCTACAATCAATTTTACACGGGTGGGGTCCGGGGAGGCTAACAAGCATTTCTAAAAAAGGTCCGTCAACATCCTAAACGGGACGTTGGCGTCTCAGCCTCATCCCACGTGCCTCCCTCGGTCCATCTCCCTGATGGTGCTCTCTGCCCTTCGCGCCGCCCTCAAAAGTCTGCGTTCATGGCTGAAGCCGCGTGGGTCCAGCTCTCCCTGGGTCGCGGAGCGCATTCAGCATGAGCTTCTCGTGCTCGTCGAGGTGGTCGTGGCGGTTGTGGTTGTGGAGGCCTCTTGGAGCTTCGTGCGCCAGCGTGTGACCCGCTGCGGCGCGGTCGCTGCTGGGTCTGGCGCGGCCACACTCTCCTGTGCGTCACCAACATCGTTAACCTCCCGCTGCTCATCCGCTTCGCAGCCAACCTGCTCCACCGCCGTTCCTGCCAGCAAATCCCGAAGCAATGGTACGTCGATCAGTTCCCTCGCGTTCGCCGCAGATTTGTTCCAGCTCTCATAAAAAGCTTCTCCGACCCTTTTGTGCATAGCGCACTGGCGTAGCGCATAAGCACGCAGGCCGCTGGACAATGCCACGTCTTCCTCATCCCTTGCCCCTGCGCTCATCCCATTCCTTCTGTATTGTCGCCAAGCAGCGTAACACGCGCTTCATCTCCTCGCGTATCAACGCCACTTCTTCGCGCCATCTGTCTCGCCGCGCCCTTGCCTTGGTCCAGTCAACCCACCACGGCTGTGGGGGTAGAATAATGAGCCTAGTATACTATAGCAGCAATGAATTTTACGCACAATCATGCAATTCTGTTCTGTCGGTGCCCCCTGCGATGCCCCAAATCCACGAGACCCGCGCTTCGATTGCAGTTTGAGTCGGCTCGTTTCGCGATGCCCCGGGCAGACTCCGCCGCGCGTAGTTTCTTGACAGAGGAGATGTCATTCTCGACACCTGCGCGCCCGTTGATATCGGGCGTCCTCGAAGTTTCCGGAACTCAGAGGAGAAGCCTTGGCCTTTCAAGGCGACCAAGGCATCATAAGCCTTCCGATACTTCAACGCCGCTCTCGCAATACGCTCCCCCAATGCGCTCCAACAACGTCGCAGACCGGGTTGCTCCTTTTTGCGCCACAGAATTCGAATTACGCCAATAGATGACGTGGGTCTTGGTGTATAAGCAGCCTCTCAGCGACATCAATGCATCCGCACATTGTCCCAACCGTAATTTCGTTTCTGCATCAGCGACCCCACGTCCACAATAGCGCCGGCGATCATCGGGTGACAATTCGGAAGGCAGATAGATTTTGAGATGTTCTGCTTTGGGAGGAGGTTCGTCTGGATTCCGTTTTTCATCGTCGCTCGCCCGGATATTCTTCTACGCCAGGCATGTAAGTCAGTTGTAGGTCGTGGAATGTCTTGAATCGCTTGTGCAATGAAAATCGCTGTTCCTGGATTGCACTCGAGCGGTCCGCGGAGATGAGTGTCTTGGCCTTCAGTTCTGCCAAGATGCGACGTCTATCATTTGCTTAGCAACTCCAAGAAAACGACCAGGGAATTCCTCTCACTGGGATTCCTCGAGCTGAAGGCCAGCTTTGACAAAACCAGCGGCGGTCATCTTTCCCTCGGGAACCAATGGTGCTCGACCAGCGCGTGCATCCTCGACTTCTGCTGCTTTCAGTTGCTGCATCACCTCCCGTTCGGATGGTCCCGCTAGATCAGGAATATCAAACCGGCGTCACTGCTCAGCGCTGATTACCGACCTTCTTTCCCCCCAATGATTAAGAAAGGGTTCGGCTCTCGGTGGTCCTTCTCCCAGTCGATGACCATTCTCTCCCAGACCTTAACCTTCTCCTCTGATATGCTCTCAGTCATCTCTTCGAATTCTTCCTCCTGTGTGCGCCGCTCTGCCAGAGCGACGATTAGCTTTCGCATGAGGATTCTCCCTGTCAGATGGTGATAAGCATAGTTCTCATGTCAATCTCCGGCACTTACCTTGCCCGATGTTCTTCTCGAAATTGAGATGGTCAATCTTATCTTCCAAGGTGTCGTGGCGAGCTCCTTCCCCCATCTCCTTCGTCGCCCAAGCACTAGGATTCAGTAGCGACCAAGTTCGTTCAATGCCTTCTCCGTCTGTTTTCCCAACTCCATGCGCGTAACTGAGAGTGTTCTTTGAGCGACAGTTTATCTCGTGGGCAGACGCATGCCAGACGGGTAAGGCAAACTGCATCTTGTACTTGGAGAGGTCCGTCGTGAGATCGCCGCGTTGTCGGATTCGTTCACCTCGGGCAGGTAAGAGAACCTGCCAATGGCAGGCAATGTCGTAGCTGATGGTCACGTTGATGACCTTCTCGCCTTGCAGCGTGGCCATGACAACGTAATCAATATTAGCGTATCTTTCAGCGGTTGGTCAATGGCAGACGTGAGACAAGCCAAGACACACCTTTCGCCTTTCTGCAGATCGCACATTCCCTGCTTCCGGACGAGCCCGTGTCGAGCGCACACCTACACCGCCTACCCCCGACACCCTCAAGCCTGTCGTCACTTTGGTGTCTTGTTGGATGAGGGCCGCGGGCGGCGCAGCTGTGAACCTGGCAGCGCTTAATAATGCCAAGGCAAGTTAAGCGGTTTCCAATCGCCTACCTCCTTCTCAGCCACGTATTCACGCAGATGCCGCTTGTAGGCCTCGGACTGGACAAAATACCCCTTGCCTTTCGCTAAGGCAGGATCTTGACGCTCATTTGCTCGAATGCGGTTCTTCAGTCGGAAGTTCGCGTCGACTGCCAAGATGAGCTTGTAGAGGAAACTGATTTTTGCATTAGATTGGCACACACTATCTCCTCACACACTCACCGTTGCGAGCGATCGACTCGTTTCCAACCTTCCGGTAGGTTTCGCCTGGTTGAGGACATGCCCAACAGGACACGGCCAACTCCCCGTCGCGGTTTCCGCAAGGCCGCCTGGGTCATGTGCTCGCCCGGCCCGTTTCGCCCGAATCAGGTAAGTGTATTGACGATGCATGCGAAAAAACGCCTTGTAACGATCCTATCGCTCCCGTTAACGCACCGCCAGATCCGGAAAATACGGGCCTACCGGAGTCGCCTCAAGTCGGGTCGCATCCGTCAACCTTTCAATCGAGCCGACAAAATCATTGACATTGATGTTGCCGACGACTTGCAAGAGTCGAAAGAGTTCCAGAGCCTCTAGCGTGGCGCATGTCTCTGGGTCTGTCGTGGTGGCAGGATACCAACCGTGAGCGAGCAGCTGCCGTAGGACATTCCGTCTTTGACCCAGCTCACAATTGCAGGTGCGCACGCGAAGAGTGAACACTCCCCGCACGTCAATAACCACCATGCGCTTCGTCACACTGGGGTTTGGGCACGGAAGTCCGTGGTGCCCGACCTGGAAGATCAAACCAAGGCCAATCTGGCCATCGAAATTGGGCAGCACCGAATAAAGGTTTGTCCGGCACCAAAACCGGCCGTTCCATTCCTAAATCAAATCAGACAATTGCCATCACAGATAAGCAGACCCACCTCGACGACGTGCAATGGACGTGTCTGGTGGGCACGGACAGTGCAAGACTGGCATTGTAGGTAGTCCCCACAATGACGACATCGAAACATCCGGGATTCGGGGCTTGACTCTGAGCAATGCGCGCAACAAGGCTTGTGAACGAAGTCGGCTAGCCCATCGCGCCGGACTAGCTCATCGAGGAACGTTGACGCGTGCGGTAACCAGACAGACATGGGATCATCCTGCACTCCCGTGAGTTGCCGTTTACTTTGCTCAGGTAAAGCACCTACTGAACTAGCATAGTGACGTCGTTTGGCCTTCTCGCTCGTATTTTGAGACCCCACGTCTTCCATGTCGGGCTCGGTCTCATATGATGAGACTGTGAGTGCGAGCGGACGTCGTCATCGCCAACACCCATCGGAGTCCACCCAGAAAGGCGATCGTCAGGCTCTTGAAGCTCTTCCGCGTCCAAACGAGGGCGCTTTCTTTTGACCCTGTTGACAACATCGGTGAAGACTCGTGCTCCATCCGCTGAAATGTGAATTTGTTCATCCCCCAGGAACGTTGTCGTCGCATTCGGAAGATTGTCGTCCTGGATATCCCCGAGCAAGTCGTCCTTCCGCCGACGACCTCGACGAAGCATCTGTGCAGGTGAGTGCGGAGCGTTTTGGTCTTGCCGCCTGGCCTTATTATATACACATTAGCCTCGTGCTTAGACATCAATACTCCTCGTATTTTCCCCTTCGCCACTGAACGCATGTCATTCCTCGGTCAAATGATGATTCATAAACCTCTTATTGCGACGATGACAAAGAGTACTGACAAGAAATATCGTAACTCGAAGTAATCAAAGTAGGACGAGCAGGGCAAAGACAACCCCGAGAAGTCAGCTCGAATTGACCCCATCGCGAGGAACGGACCGAAACCGTGGTTTCGGGAGACGGGTTGGGACACTCGTCCGTCATTGTAGCGCTGATGTGGCCAACTTGGTACACGTATCCCAACTCCGAAATGGGGACCAGCTGTGTCCAACGGCGGTTGTTCCAAACCTTCGCTTGGTGTCAGCATCTATAAATTCCTGAAAATTCCACTCACATCGACAAACCCGTGGTCTGGGGCGGCGCTCGTGCGCAATCAAGATGCATCCTTTGCAGGCGTACAACCCGTGCATGCACCTATTGCGCCACGAGCACCGATATAAGAGCCTCGCGTCCGCTAACGAAGTGAAACACCAGGCACATTCTTTGGGCGCGTTTCCCAGAGATCGCTGCTTTTCTTCGCGCAAGGTCCAGTCCGCCGCGTAGTTGGTCCACTGGTCTGCGCGAATTCTGAAACGGTGCAATACTTCGGGGTCGAATGGAGTGTCGTCTATAGCTTGAACAGGCTCCTCGATGAAGTCCTCGCCGCGCATCAGTCCACCACTGACCGGGACGGGTGGTGCTTCCGGTGCGTCCGCAACTGGCGCCTAGGGAATGTCAGCCACAAGCCCAACTCAAGACCAGAAGAAAAAAGCACGAACTGTAGCTCCGTCAGCCATGAAAAAGTCGGTAATTGGTCGTTGACGCATGAGTGGGGGTGGCGAGTCAAGATTCCAAGTCAAGTAACTTGGTAAGTGATGCCATCTGAATGGGACGACGTGCGAGATATATTATCACACGACGTGCGCGATATTGCGGAGGCAATTCTGATTCATCAGATTTGTACCTCGTGCTTGGTGCTGGCTAACCGAGATTTTTGGGGGTCTAAACAGCCCATCATATCCTCCGCGACACTCCCCTCCGACTCCTACATCCGACTTAAGTGAATCCCCAAACCGAGCCAAACAAACTGCTCACTGAGATGCTCCACCCGCACGCCAACGCCGGAGACTAGAGCTCAGTGGGGGGAGCGCCGCTGTGTCCTTGAGCTGCGGGACTCGACGAGCTTATTGCTGCTGCGGGCGGGTGTCACGCAGTAACAACTCTTCCTCCTACTTCCATCTCGTTCTTCCGTCAGTCGTTCACTGCCAATGGCTGGTACGCCCCTCATCTATTCTCTACTTTCTGGCCACTTATTGCATCCAGAGCCTCCTCCTTCACTGTCTTCAACTCGTGCGTTACAAATTATGGCAATCGATGGCGAAAATCTGCTGACTCAAATTTTCTAGTGGAGGAAGAGAACGTCAGGCGTCGAGCCATACGGGCGCGTATCCGTGCGCGACGCGAAGAAGCAGCTCAAGAAGGTATCGTGGGTCATCTTTTACTGCTAAGCAGTTCACTCACTCCTCACGACAGCAGAAAAGTTGTCCATCCAGCGGGAAAATACTCGCCAATTTCGCAAGCAGCAGCAGGCTGAGGCCGGTATGTCGTTTGTGCTTGGTGTGCTTTTGTAGCTCTGATAACAACGGTCAGCCAAACAACTGCGAATCCCAAATCATCGTCTCCTCCCCCACGTCAAAATGCGTCCAGGCTTCAGGAGTGAACGAGCTCGCGAGTGGACTCCAGACTCTGCCTATCTCACATCTGCTCGTCCTCCTCCGTCGCCTGTCAACCGAGCCTTGGCTCATTGCTGTCCATTGTGCGGCAACCTTTTCTCTCATCCAGTCGTGTATGCATTCTATGTGGCTGTCGCAGTACCTTGACTGATTTTCATTGCAGAAATGGCTCGTGCGGTCATGTTTACTGCTACATCTGCAGCCGAGGATCCCTGCAAAGTCGATTTGCCTGTCCGGTGGAGGACTGTCAACGAATGACGCTCCGGTCAGCTCCCCAGCGCGTGCCAACGATGGACAACATCTTCCAGGAGCTTTACGCTGCGGAGTATCCCGAGTGGGTCGACGATAGCAAGGTCTCTTACTCATTCCGCGGCCTTCAATTCCCCTTCTACGATGTCATTCCTGTAGAGCACTCAGCGGAGTCGGATGTTTTGACGGAGGTGAACTCAGAGGACGACCAGTAGCAGCTTGTAGTAGTGTTGTTCGTTGTTTTAGCGCCGTATGTGAACCTCGCCCTTGTCTGAATAGTATTACCACTGGCCAAGCCATGTAAAAAAGGCCCGAGGTCTCGATCACGTCTGCTAAAAAAAAAGCCATCAACTAAATGTCGTTTCGGCCCTTGAATGACCACCAGATGATACTGAATCATTCGCAGGTCGCGATGCCATCATCTAGGCCAATCTGAGGCCAAACGAACGTGATGCCCAATTGTATCTCGAGTGATCCTACGTGTGTTGGGGCCCAAAAACGTTCACAACTTCACGATATGAGCAGGTGGGGGTCTAATATTGGGCTAGTATATAGCTTATATGTCTTGCTAGCTAATATATTTTTTTTGGATTTAAAGTATACCATTAACTAACTCATTGCGAGCTCGCAAGACCACTAATAACCACAACGGAAAACTAGCTAACATCGCAAAAACTCACAACAAATTTTCATCTGGTCCTCCTTGACCATGATAGTAATTGAAGAATATCATGCCTGTAGACTTCCCCGTCTACTAACCTGTCTCCCTGGAGCCTCAGAGGACGTTTGTAGCTTCGTCAAGGTGAATGTGACACGCTGTGACCATCTCTCCTTCTCTCCTCTCATCGTTATGCTCGTCGAGCCTCCAATTCCTGGCAACGTCAAGACTCGGCGCGCGGCTACCACGATGGTTGCGCGTCGAATAGCCTCAGCGCAATACCGAGACAAGTGCCTCGCACATCCCCGTTAGACGCCACACCACTAACGGGCTCGACAGGCACAAAACGCTCGTGGCGCGAGAGAGCCCGGGAAAGAATGGCCCTGTCCGTCAGCACTTTAACGGTGCATTGCAAATTTTCTAACGCTCATTTAGACACCGTGCCAGTGCAGTATACCACGCACAGAGGGATGAGTTGCGGCGGCAATCTCGGGAGCGTAGTCGTCTCTATCGGCAACGGTGCGGAGTTCAAGTCAGTGCTCCAGTCACTGACTTCAGTATCAAGCAATTCCGCCAAAATCGCTGAAAGGAAACGTGCGGCCAGGGCCCGCGATTACGTGGCCGAGCATGGAGTGTCAGCCTATCTTGAGCGAGAGACGAAGCGACGCGAACGGCAGCAGATCATCGACGAGGATGAAGAACTGCGTGCGTGGGATCAGTACTGGAAAGAGCTTAAAAGCAGTAAGGCCCGCGACCGTGAGGCAGCTCGAGCCCTACTGGAAGTCAGCCGCGACCCCTAGTCTACTGTGGTTATCTTGCTGTCGTTGTTTTTTGTTTTTGCTATTCATGGACACCACTTTGCGTTGCAGAGAGACGAAAGATGATATATTATGGAGTTTACGGACGGCTGGGTATACGACGTTCTCGGACACGACCATGCAGCTCTGCATCACGGAAGCTTGCAATCGCTGCCGCCAGTGTTCGGTGTGAATCATGAGATGCCAAACGGATCCCACTGGTATTGAGTGCAGCTTCTAAGCTAAGTAAGGTTAGAAAAAGGGAGGGCAGGTGAGGAGTAGACGCTCACAAGGTCGGGTAAATGCCGGGATTCACTCCTTCAGTCACGATGTACCATGCCTCATCGGAAGCACGATGCTCGATCCTCGTCAAATCGATGGTATCATCCGAGCGAAGGAGAGAAACAGGTATGCGATCGACGGGTAGCGGTAGGCCTCGAAGTTGTGGGGCATTCGAGGTATAACCCTTTTTGACTGCGTAGGTGTATGCCCGTTGAGCCTCGGCGCGGTCTGCGTAGCCTTGGTGAACTGCTAGGCGAAAGCCCCGTGTTGCGGCTGCATTGTACTGCTGGAAGACTCCCGTGGTCCACCCTCGAAAGACGACCCAGCAGGTGGAAACTCGGACTGGGTCCGGATCGCGGTATAGTTGGACAACGTGGCCGCCAGGAACCCCTTGCGTGGCAGAAGAAGCCTCAGACCTGACAGAATATCAGAGATGTGCAATGTCAGTGGTGACAGCTGACCATTCAGACGTGATTGTGGTGGGGACAGAAGGTGATGAATACACGTAGAGTTTGCTGGGCGATGCCGCGACGGTATTTTGGACCCGCGGAGGCAGAGGCGGGACCAGAGGTGGTGGTGCAGTGGGCGCTGGACGTAGAACTCGAGGCGGCGAAGGTGGTTGAGGCGGAGACCGGTGATGCGAAGGAGAAGATACCCGATGACGTGACAAATGATCTTGGCTTGGCTCATCGTCGGAGACAGTAATCGCCGAGCTATCAGAGTCCAGATCCGCAGTGTCCGAGGCATCGGGAAGTGGAATAGATGGGAGTCGTGGTGCGTGACGACGGGTTGGATGGCGAACGATCTCCCAATGTGATGGCGCAGAGTTTTGATCTGGCGAATGTCCTTCAAGACTCGCAGCCGCTAGGGCTTGTTCGAGTTCATCAATACGAGTGTATGCCGCGGCAAGTTCTCGCGAAAGTTCGCTAGACCGAGTGGAAGAGGACGAGGTGCGCGTGGTGCGACGAGACATGGGGACAAAATGTAAGTTGGGAGAGAGAGAGAGAGAGAAGAGGGTGTCATGAGATCGTTTATTATCATTTGGAGAAAACACATGTGTACAAAAAATCACTGGGCCTTGTCAAGGTCAAGTTATTGATCTTTCGAAGAATCAAGATAGAAAGACGCACCCGGCAGAACAAATGTATGAGCGGGCAGGTCATGGTACTCCGGCTCTGGTTGATCAATGCTCAAGAACCATCTGTTAGACCATGAGCGAAGGGGACTAAAATGTGAGAAATCTGTCCTTACCGACGAACAGCCTCATCAACGACGGGCAGGTCCTCTGCCAATACATCGAGAAGTTCCATGGTACCACCAGGGGTGTAGGGGTTTAGGCACGGAGGATGTTTGAAGACTACCACAGCCCCAGCTACGCCCGATGATTGCTCGGCATGACGCGAGCGACACTAGCATTCGGCTGGAAGTCGTTTGTGTCCTCATCGGCGCTGCTGGAGTGACAGAAACACGGTCGGAGAATACTGTAGCAGAATTCGCTCCCGGGTTCTCTTCGTTAGCGATATGAACGACGGGCTTGTCGCAGTGGTGGCAATGGATGGGGCTAGTCGAAAAGACGGTGTTTAGAGCAACCCCGTTGGATACGATAGTGTGTGGAGGGTGGCTGGGTCGGATACGCATGATGCGACGTTGCCCACGGATGGGGTAGAGCACGAGCGGATTGCCCGTGGAGTGTTCGTTTCAGTCGTCGTAGTCGCCATGGAGTGCAATCGAGAGACGTAGATCGCCAAGCCACTTGGAATCACCAAGTAGACAGACAGAAAGATTGGCGAAGCTATTGGATCCGAAAGTAAGTGACTGTTCAGTTCTTTCTTTTCTTCCACCCACTCATCCATGGCTTCCTCGTCGCAGTCGACTTCCTCTGCTCTGCCAGACATGGCGTCTGCCTCTTCACAGTCTGTCGCTGCCCTGCCGCCGCCGCTGGTCTCTGTAGTACGCACTCTTCTTGCCAATAGAGTGTCAGCTTAACATGTCGCAGCCGCTTGGGATGGAACCGACCAAGAAATATCGACGAAAGGCGCGGAGCGAGAAGAAGAGCTTGAAGATGTGGGCCGAGGGCAAGCGCGAAACCGTTCTGGCGCCACATGTTG